GTGGAGAGGTATCTGGATCAAGAGAAAGGGAAAGGAAGAGACACAGAAAGATAAGATGAGTAGAAAATGTAAGATTGAGACGGTTTAAAATTATAGGATCCGTTTGTAAAAATTGTTCTTTATTAGAAAAGATTGGAATTCGAGGAAGAGCTTGATGATGAAATACGTGTTAATAATTATACGTGTTAGTCCGATTGAATAAGGCATCGATTTTAATGAAGTAATCAATGTTAATTAGATATTAATTGTATTTTTTCTTTCGAAGATTGAAAACGAAAAAATAATCTTCAAGAAAACAATAAGATAAATTTTAAATAATCAATTATATCTTTAATTAAAATCAAGAAAAGTTTACTTTTATTCCATTTACTTACCATTATATTCTTTCTCATAGAATATTTAAATTGTTCGTGAATTTTTATACAGTCGTTAAATACCAATAGAAATATGCACAAAGCTATTTTACGACATTTTTTAAGAAAGGTAGCACAGACAGATGCGAGGATGTAAATATGGATTTAAGAGAAAGCGATACGAGGCATAAAAGTTGTCTTCGGGGCGACAAATTAAAATAGGTCAGTGGTCCTTTAACCGTAAAATACATTTCCAAATATTCAAAATTAATTCGATTCTAGATCTTGATCGTTTTGTCGTTTAAATCGCTGTGTCGTGTTCATATGTCGTTGCGTAAAATATTGCGCGTTGATCGTGGCTGAAATTTTTTGATAAATTGCATTTGTTCGCCAATATTGAAAAGATATATTACATCATATTGACATATTGAAAGTTAGAAAAATCAATTTTCTAACATGCTAATTTGCTAAATTAATTTATAGATTGATTAGAATAACGAAGAAAAGTTATTGATAGAGCATTCTATCCAATTCATTGTGCGAAGTCTTCTTTTATAAAATATTATAAATGCATTTAAATTTTTATTATTTCTATAAATATTACTTGAGAACCATGAAATGAAACGTAACATTTATAAATTGTACACTCATTTCGAGATAATATTCTTACAATATAAATAACCAATGACTAAGAATTGAATATTATTAGAAATTCAAATAGAAATTCTACACTAGTTTCAAGGTGATTTACGTTAAAATAAATAAATTTCTCCAGAAAGCAAGAAGAAAGAAAATAAATTCGAATTTGCTAAACTCGAATCTTGCTTAACACGAAAATTATCAACACACAAACCTATTTCTTGCGCAGTAAGAATTTGGAGTTATAATCAAATCGTATTGCAAATCTGATGAATCGTCAATGAATTCGAGTGGAGAAAGAGCATGTGCTTCTTTTAAGAAATCTGTAGACGGAAGTAAGAGAAAACCAGTTTCGATTCATCTCTCGGACATTTAACGGGCAGTGTTCTGAATGTTTTTCAAGGCATATACCGGCATAATCGATATATAGGTATGTAGCCCAATGAAGTTATAAATTAATTTTTTCCAAGACTAAACCTCTATTATAATTAACGAATAGTCACCGATATGTATATATAGATGCATATAATTTTTATTTCCTATATTGTAACATGTAAAAGTTACACGTGCAATTATCTATATCTTTATCTATATTCAAATTATAATACATCCCTTAAAGCGATGCGTAAGATAATAAATATAAACGATAACTGCTATTTCATTTCAAGAAATCTTAAAAGAACGAATATAAAGAAATGATCAAAACTTAAAGAGAGGAAAGCACAATTGAAGATCATTCAATCATTCGTGTCATCTGAGATCAAAAGGAATATTGCGTAGCGCGGGATGCTTTATAGTTCGGTGAATATCGTAATTGTTGTTGATTCGTTCTTTCTTTCGTTGCATTTCGATAAAACTCGAATACGGAGGAAGTAAGGAAGAAAAAGATACAGGAATCTGACTGCAGAAGGAGAAAGCGCAACCGGTTACTTTCGTCGGCGTATACGTGTATAGTTCAACCTATAGTTTTTTTTTCTTCGCACTTCTTTTTTTTCCCATTCGCCTTAGTATATCTCGGTCAAGGAAATACTCGTTGACGGAAGTTGAGTTTTTTTTATTTTTATTGATTTTTTTTTCTCATTGCTAAATATGATAAGAAAAAACCAGAGATTTTTTTGATACGAGAGTGTATTGCACTTTAAATTTCTAAAAATATGAATGTTACATATATATATATATAAATATTATTATTATTC